GCCCCTGGCGATGAGAGCAGCAGGGGAGGAAGGTGCCACCCTATGCTAGATCAGAGTACCGGCCTCAGTGGGAGAACATTGCTGCCTGGCTTTGCGTGGGTGCTACTTCACCAGGGCGGCGTGAGAAAACTGAAGTGGGTAACTGCATTTAACCAAATCAGCAAGACTGGGTATTGGTGTTTCATCACTTGGCACCACCAGCTGGCATATTTGAATGGCACAGGTAGTTTTTCCATGTATGAGGCAAAGGTAACCAAAGTTTTTCTTCTGAAGAGATACAAAAAGTTACACAATGGAGACATTAACTAGGGTATCGCATCCCTCTGCAATAAAAGGAGTGATTATTGCATAATTAAGGTAAGTCTGGATATATTTTATTATTCATCCCTCTCAAAGGGAAGGGAGAAACCAATTTTAGGGGTTTTTTTAGATTTTGCACATTTTCCAGATATTTTTTTTAGCTTCACCTCCAAAATTTTCATGTATTTCTCCTCCCTTACTTTTTCTAAATTGTGACTCAAACTCTAAGAATACAGGGGAAAAAAATCATTCCTGGAGAATTTTTAGCATGACTGACCTTATGACAAAAACATGCAGGTATTCTGCTTTACGAGAGTCATCCCAAATACTCCAGTATATAATAGAATCTGTAGGATTCTATTTTTTTTATATGTATATGTGTATATATATAATATACTCTATTCTATATGTAGGACACAACATGGTCACATAGCAAATTTGCAAGGTCTGTTCTAAGCAGATTTCTCAAACTTAAATGATTTCTTGTCTGTATTTAACATATGTGTGTTTTGCAGATGTAACCCCAATAATTGCACTGTATGCTTGTGATATTGCATTTTTTTTTACTGATTAGAACACTAACTTTGGGAAATAAAATGCTGAACATTATCAGCACTTTTGTTAACTGAGTGAAACCTCTGATGTTTTCGAAGTTTGCATAAACCTGACTTTGTCCCATAATGAGCTCATTCTCAGATTAAACACAGTTCATGACACTTTAATGTGTTAACTCAGCTTCATGATATTTCCTACCAGTGTTTAATTTTTTCTTTAATAGACCAGAGACTCTATGTCCACACAAGTCTTTAATAAAAGTTTTCAAATTCTAAAGACACTACCTTGACCTTTACTGAAATCAAAAGTACAGAGAAAATTAGGATATTCATTCCAAAAAGTCCTTTTTAAAGTGAAATTTCCCCCAATAAAAGGTCAAACTTTATTACCTATAAAATTAATACTATGTCCATCAAATTTTCTGTTACACATTGTTTCAATTATGTTTGGGAAGGGACAGGAACTGTTTAGATCAGAAATAATCTAATTCATACTTAACTACCTTTTTCTGCAGTTAATTTGACAATGCTGAAAAACAATATCATAAAGTTCAAAAAGAATATCATAAACAACTAAATGATTTCCTACAGAAGAATGACTCCATTTTCTGTGGTCAATTCATGGTTTCTGTCCTACTGGTAAAGAATAGTTCTGTGGTTTACTGAAAAAAGATAAAGTTGTTATGGATTTATATAAAGAACTACTAAGCATGAAGCTCCTGGTTTTACTTCTGACAGAAATTTTCGACATTTTACACATAAGAAGAACGCCCTGGCACTCGTCCCCTGCACTGAAGCGTAATAACAAGAAGCCGGTGCCTGCTGAATCCAATGACAGATTCCCTACTGACATCCGTGAAAGGGTATGGAAAAAGTGTCACCGTGAGTTTAGTTTTCAGCTGTCTCCACTCTTCACCCAAGACAGCACATGAACATAAGGTCATTTTAAAAAGAGGTGACCACGGAATACGACAGGACAACACTACCTTTCCTGTAATCACATGAACTCTATATGCTGTGAATACTAATAGCAAATTACATGTTTCTCTACTGGTTTAGTGTATGTCTAAGGTCTTTTAGCAAAGTCTAAGGTACAAGGCTTTATTGATTTTAGAACCTTACCTTACTACAAATACTGTTAAAAATTAGCGCACAACTCACAGACACCCTTCCACAGAAAGCATCATGTTTGTAAGCCCTCATACTGAGAATTAACCCTGCTGAAACTCCTGCTAGTGCTGTCAGAAACCGAACTTGGGGGAAGATGGATTAGATGTTGCTGATGTGGCCACCCGGATATGCGGACCTCTTGTGAGCTGGCTGATCTGGGAAGCCTGGCAAACACTGGTGCGGTGCTGGGGCTGGGCTGAGGTGCTCTGCGTTATGCCCAGAGCTGTGCTGGGTACCAGTTCACACTGCTATACTGTGCAGTGGACGTTACCTGAACTCTCCTGTATTCCCCAATTGAGAAAAGGAAAGTCTACGGCTCATGTGCATGTGCCAACGCATCTCAGACCTGACTTGGAGATGCCAGGCCAAAGGAAATAATAGCTGACATTGAATGCTTTTGAAAAAAGTATCTCTGACTAAGTACGGGGTTTTTTTTCTCTCTTCGCTTTTTGCCCCATGTCTGTTAGCCCAATTAAATGGGCTCTACTGGGAATGCCTCTGAATTTTCAATTTACCACCCTATCTCATTTGACAATTCTTAACTCTGCCTTTAGCTGCCCTCTCACATAGGAGTTGAGACCATATTCACTGGCATTCGGTAGGCTGCACTTCCTAACCTGAAGAAAGAAAATTGCAGTTTGTGGACAAAGCTGTTTAAAAGAGAATGCATACAGTTATGTTCAATCTGATTTTTTTTTTTTTCAAGTTAACATAACCTTCTTTTAAAGTCCTGAAAGAATTCTGTATTCATTTCATATTATTCTACCACAATTTGGCTTGTCATCTAATGTAATATCTCTTTTCAAGATGGACATTAGCTATGATGGCTAGAAAAATGAAGTGGGTTTTCACAGCTTTGCTAGCTGTCATTGTCAGTAGCCTGGAAATAAGCTGGGGAACACCTTCCCAGGAACATCTGGGATATTATCAGTCCCAGCCATAACTGCAGGGGACGAGGCAGACCCTCAAACATACCTGTTGAAATCAATTATAAAACTTCCTTGGCTGCTTTAGCCACAGAGTCTGGACTGAGACTTCAGACTGGCAGCGCCCACACGCAAAGAGAGCAGTGTTCCCTCTGCAAATGGAAGCAACCAAACCACAAGCAGACCCTGGGTGAACTGTCTTTTCCTGCCCACAGTGAAGCCATGCTCTCCAGCAGACCCCAGCACTGCGCTCCGGGCCAGGTGTGAGCAGAGGTAAGTGTTTGTGCACGATTGAGGTTGAGGTTGGGGCTCCAGAGGAGCTCCTGCTCCTCTCAACTCCCACAAATTCCACTCTTACATATTTATACAGACCAGCAGATAATTTTTCCAGTTATTACCCTGCCTCTAAGTTTAATGTGTTTCATAAGCTGTTTGGTAATTAATCCGGGGGTGATACAGACCACAAGGTTAATACCAGCTATTTAAGTTCTGCTATTTATTGCTACTTCCACATGTGGCTGTGCTCCATAGAGTGAAGTAGGACAACACTCCTGAATGATCACTATTAACACCTTAGTATGACAGCAGTAAAGGCACACACGTGGTTTCCAATTCCTTCCTTCAAAGAAGTCAATAGTGTTGGAGCAGATTAGCTCCTGTGCTGACAGTGCTGCGGAATCACAAACACACACAGCAGCAGCCGTTAGATGCTGACTCCGCACCTCAGCTGAACAGGATTCCTTTTCTCTAACCCGTGCTAAATATCTTCTCTTACTCCGCTGTTCAGTGCACAGACCCCTTTCTCTTCTCTTGTTTTTCCAGAACGGAAAAAATTCTGGGAATTAAGAGGCGTCACCGAGCAGTGAGGCTCCTGGCTTAGGACAGATGAGCAATGTGTGTTACTGCCCTAACGCGGTACCCCAAAATCCACTTTCATTTAGACTGATTTCCATAGTTGGAAACATTCAGCTGCTTGTTCCATCTATTCTCTTTGAGCATGTTTGACTCTACCTTTAGAACACATGCAACTTTGTCCCTTTGATAATCCCCTAATAATAATATAATGACTTTTTAATTTCATTGTAAGTTGACATTTCCCAGTGTACCAGATTTTAAGACACACTTAAAAAATCTTTATCCAATAGCAAGTAAAAGACAGAAATAAGTTTAGTACTACATTTTTGCATGGAAATTTCCCCAGAAAAATATGTGTATGAATATATAAGTAAATCATCATCTCAGCAGAATTTTTTTTTCTTTTATACTTGAGGCGATATTTTCTTTTTCCTGTCAGGCCCTGCAAATGTTCCGAGTCATGTGGTTACAAAAATGTAGAATTACTCTCCTAAAATGAACATTTTACAATTCATCACCAGGGATAAACCAGCTGCAGCTGTGAAAAAGCGTTAGCATATTAGCTGTTATATTACAGACAAATCTTTTATTTATTTTGTGCCTTTAGCTCTGGAGATCTGGAATGTTCAGGATTTTCTCTTTCTTTCACTGCTCCAAAGTCACTCACTGAATTTTCACTAGATAGTTGAATTTTGATTATATTTGACAGAAGGAAGTTTAATCCACACAATATGTAAAAAATATTGCATTTTAACAAGGATTTTTACTTATGTTTTTATTGTCACTGTCATTGTATTGAATAGAATAGAATTCAGCGTATTAAGGATGAGTTGTTATTGGTGTTTAGGTGCCTTAGGCTTACTAACTGCTCAAATATTATGAAATTGACTCTGATAAAGATGATTTATTAATTTCTGAGAATGCTCATAAACTTTTTGCATCTAGCATTAAGATCTCAGTGTAGGAATACATGTGTGAGACATAATCTTAAAAGAAAGCTGGTTTAAGTTTGAAGTTTTAAGTTCATTCCTCTGTTTTCTGTTTGCCACAATGATCTCCAATACCTTTAGGTGGCCACCTAGCAAAGTGCTGAAGCATGTGCTTAACTTTACACACCCACCTTTCTGAATAGACAATTTCAAGCAGGGAAAAAAGTCATACACTTTAATGAATATGATCCATAACAGTTACTCACCACTGTCTATTGCCAGGAAGAGAGCCGTGTATATATTGTTCTGAACATAAGGAGATTCCCGATCCAGGATAGCAGTGGTGCCAATGGTACCATTGGTAGGGTTGATTTCTAGCCAGTTTGCTGGATCCTTGTAAACTGAATACCTAAATAAAAATATAGAAATTGTTAACAAATTATATATCTAGACATAAAAAAATGACATTTCTACAAAAGCATATGGCTTTACACGCACTTGCTTTCTTGAGGTGGATCGCTCAATATTCCAAAAATACAATTTAGACCTTGTGCCTTCCCTTTGAGGTAGTTTGTTATTGTTGGGCTTATCTGACAGGTGGAGATATAGAGAGAGGTTTGACTCAATTTCTTTGGATACATATGTCTCAAAGCATAGTAGAGAAATCAATATTTAAAACAATGAAGAACCTATTTCCTACGACTGTGTTATACAGCCAGAGTACCTGAACACTTTCAGGGGACCTCTGCATCAACACTGGTATGTCCAGACTTCATCAATCCTCTCACAGTTCTCCTTTTTCCAGACTCAAAGTTCTGGCTGGAATAGGAGTTGTATTTTTAATTTATTTTTTGAGCGTTTTTCATTTTTTTTCTTGCAATCAGTTATTTTGGCTGAGGCTGGAAACGGAATAAATTGCGGGATATGGTAGCAAAACCAGAGTTAGACTGTGGTTTCACTAGGTCTAACGGGAGCTGGTTATATGCAGACCTGGTTTGCATCAATTTGTTCTGCAGTCTGTGGTCTGTAGTTTCCCACTTCTGATGATTTCAATCACATTCTCAGAATCTTGGAACAATTCAACCACATACATGTTGCCTAAATAAGGATTTGAAAATGCTGTCTGTCAAGATCCCTCAATACAAAATTCACAGTTGTGCTTTCTTTGCATTAATTGGCACAAATATTTAGACCCTGATACTGGAAATATTTAGAGACATCGTGGAGTTTATGCACTAAGAACTACCCTACTTGACTGAAATAATAAACATAAGAATTTTCATGATTAGAGATTAATTCTATACTCAGTTAAATATATTAAGTAATATAACAACACAGAGCTGAATTAACTGGTGCCAATTCCCTCTCCAATGAAATGTGTTAATATTTTAAACCAAAACTCCAATCATATAATCAATACTTAGTATAACAACCTGTTTATCTCTTTTGGTAGTGAATTGTTATGGGTCATAAACAGCCATATAATCTTTTATAAACATTTTAGATTATAAGCAATTGACATGAAACCTGTTATTATTTAATAAGTTTGTGCCTAGCCAGTGCCTCACAGTGGCATTCATCTGAAAGGTGTTCCATGGGATAATGCTGACAAAAATAATTTATTCCTGAGGGAATAATCAAAAATAACAGATTGTTAGAGGGGTAAAAAAAAAGTAAAGGCTACTGAATGAACTGAAGAATGTATCTCTTCCCTTCCTCATCCCAGGAACTTCCCCTCCAACATTTTAAACGGTGCCATGGGAAGGTGTCATTAAGCAAAGATGGGGACTTTTTTTCTCTTATAAGTTAGGAAAGATTAGAATGGGTTTGACTTATAATAGCCTTTGAATAATAAATTTTGGGCACGGACACCATGCCATTCAGCAGAAAGAAAACTTAATTATTAAAAAGGGAAAACTTCTGGGCAAATTGGTTTCCTCATGCATAAGTAGAGCAGTGCACATACAGGTATTCAGGCCTGAGAAACACAGGACAGAAACATAGACGTATTTTCCCAGCCCACAGATCAGGTATCCATAATAACTGGATCAGTTGGAGGCAGAGCAAGGCTTGAATTTATGCCTCAGAAAGCACAGGGCTCCAGAATCCCTGTGAATTTGCCATGTGGCCCACAGGTCCATCTAAAGAAACTATTCCACAGATTGACATCATACTTCAAAGATCAATGAAGCGCTCTTAATTTGAAAGAATGACAGTCCAAAGAAAATAATACTGAGTTTTGTCCTTGAAAAACAAAATTTCTTTTAGCAGAAAGCCTTCTCTTAATTTGTCAGAGAAATACTTCTCACCAAAAAAATCATTTGCCTCCAAATCCCTTTGGTGTACCTCCAGGGGAAGTGACACTATCCTACAGAAGACGAACATGGCTAATTTCAGAGCTGCTAACAGACAACACTGTCCCTTTTCCCAGCCCTCCGTGGAGGGACTGGCTCTGCTGTTCAAGAAGCAGCTCAGGTTAGGCAGGCCAGGTAGCTGCTGCATCCAACAGAAGCTGCTGGATCCATGCTTCTGCTTTTTCTGCAGTCTTTAGAAGAATACTCCGAGTGCAGTGACTCCCTGCATTCCTGGCCGATGCCTTAAGGAGGAAAGTCAACATGTGTGGCCCACTGCATTGAACTACGAGAAATTAACTGCGACCTGATGGACTCCATCATATTCAGAGCTCTTCTTCCTTGTCTTTCCACCTAAACTCCAACATGCAGAGACTGCCTTCTTTTAGTGGTTGAGTAAAATGTCGGACTCTATGGTCTTAAAGCTCTTTTCCAACCTAAATGATTCTATAACTGCTGATCTTTACCAAGACTTTGCTTGGTAATGCAACCTCCTCGGGGCTGCTGAAACAGTTTGACTTTTCCATGGTACACAGGAACACACCAGTGTTCAGGCAGCCAGTTCCAGGATCAAAACCTCAATATATACAGCCATGAAAAATTCCACATTTTTATGAGACATTCAAATAAATTCAAGGATAAATTTGGAAACCAGAACCTTTGAGAATTTATGAGAGACACACACAAATATTGCAAACACTTGGCTTATTCATGCTTCAACAAAAGTCACTCAAGAGTTTCATCACTGGCTTTCCCCAGGAGCAGAAATTACCCCTTAGGAAATAGGCAGAAAAGAATCAAAGGCAAATGCTAGTGCACAGTGAGACATTCCATCAATCCAACATGTCCTTCCACTTAATAACCATTTAAACATTAATCAATACCTGAGCTTTATCTCCCATAAAAACGAGTTACTAGAATAGTAACAATGCAGATCATTATTTCATTTCACCGCGTTTTTTTTTGTTGTTTTTATAACTTTGCAACAAAGGTATGCACAAAAACATGAAACAAGGGCAGCCTAAACAATTCCAAGTCTATTGTAAAACTGCAAATTCTCAATTAACCCTGAAACAATTTAAGAAGATTCAACACTTCTAAAGTAATGAGAATTTAAAATGGATTGTATTATCTTCCCTGATTGCTCTGCAAAGCACTGTTGGCTGTGCAAATAAAAAACTGAATTGTATAACCTGTGATTTGGCACAGGATATTGCAAAACTAGTACTTTGTCTTTCCCACCGCATTTTGTACTTATTGTAAGAGTATATTGCAGTACAGTTAAGATTATTATTCTTTGTTCATTTTTTTGAGGGCTCTGCTAGCAAAAGGTTTAGAATAGACTCATTAAGAAAAGCACTATAAAAAATTGAAATATAGACTACAAAGCTTCACTTCTAACTTTTGACTTCAGTGGGATCTGCTGATTGCACAGCAGTTTTGAAAACCAGACCATTTTTTTTAGGTGGTTAAACGTGAACTTACGTGGCTGCTTGTACCTACTCAGTTTTGAAAATCGTAAGCACATTGATACATCTGTGTAGATATACACAGAACTGTGTTCTCTGGTGTGCCAATTACTGTTTATTTTGGACTTTTTCTACATTGCAGTAGTGAAATTTAGTGCTGCTTTGTGGAGTTTCTTTTTTTTTGTTGTTTTGTTTTTAGATTTTAAGCCATGCCAAGAGCTTACAGTTCCCAAGGGCTTATATGACAACAAGGCATGGGCAAGCGGGTGTAACGTATTTTGATTGTGACCTCCTTGCACTAAGTTCATGTTCTTCCACTATCTATAAGCCAGGTAAAGCAAAGAAAGCAGAAAAAACAATCCTTTAGACTGGAGATTTTCTGCTGCGATGTTCAAGTATACCCCTTAAATATAGACCTACAAACATGCAAAGAGGCTGTAGATGAAGAACAAGAGAACACAAATCAAAATATGCACTTGGCCTATTTGGTGCAGAACTAAAATAAAGTAGCAAATATATGGAAATAATTTAAAATTTATAAATGGCATTTTCCCCTTCCTGTAACACAAGAAAATAATTCACAGAACACCTCCTGGGGTTGCCAGCAGACGTGCATGGTGCCGGTGGCTGTCAGCTTGATTAGCACAGAAGATCATTACACAGAACAGTGCTGATACGATGGACACAGAAATCTAATCAGAGCCACAACCTTGCACTAGCCACAAAAAGAATTTCACAGCCGACAGTGCAGTAGCCCAGGGTGTCATAGGAGAGCAGCCAGGCACCGAGTCTTGGCAAGGACTTCCAGGGCTTGGTAGTTGCCAGACTTTTTCCATGTGGAGTCAAGGGGTCTTCGCTCTTATGCTTTAGCAGAAAGAGAAGGAAGGCAAAATGAAGCAGTGCCAAATCTGCACTGAACGACACATCTGCGCCAGTTTGATGTGCAGCAGCGACAGGAGTTAAGATGAACAATTCAGACAGGCTTGTCAGGGTGGCGGTGTTCAGCCTTGCGCATCTGGCGACTGCTGAGTCGCATGTGCAGAGACTGTACGACCAGAAAGATGCAACAGAAAGGAAGTGGCACAGTGGCACTGGCCCCATGAAACATCTGTCTGATTCTGCAATTAGGCTTTGTGTAACAGGGCAAGAGACGGCAGGCAGCAAGTTGACACTGTGGGAGACTAGTAAGCAAGGCTGGTCTGGCTGAATTAAGACTTGGAGAATTGGACTTTGAGTCCCAGCTCTGTCACAGTGGAATTAGGGAAGCCCTTTAATTCATGCTATGCCCCTAATTCAGCTTTGAAATGATGAGGATGTATTTCTGCATTGAAAAGCTGTTAAAAGGATAAAATCTGTAAATTGTTGCAAAAAGGACTGAGAGCATGTAGCAATGAAGGACATCAAAAGTCTCAAGATAGATAGAAAGAAATAATTTGAATAGCTTTCTAAAGACACAGAAAGATATTTACTGACATTTTCAAATTGCATAGTTGCTCATCTCCTTAATTTTTTTTTTAAACTAAAATAGAGTTAAACCCAGATAAGTAAAAATTCACATTCTCAGTGATACATACATATGTATATTTTCA